TACATTGTGAATTTTAGACATTTTACCCTCTCTTTTTATATTTATATAAAAAATCTATATCAAACGAATATATTTATTATAATATCAAAGAGTAGAGTGTTAGATATTTGCGACTGCAGATTAAAAAATATTTCGAGTAAAGTTTTACAAAAGTAATAAAAAATGTTGATTTTATAATATAATGAATGTATTGAAATAGTAAAAAATATCTTATAAAAATGATTGCCAGATAAAATAAGTTTTCTACGCCTATAGTTAGAGCCAACGAATTTAATTGTTCTTGTTTCATTGTTGATAGAATTTTGTTTTAAAACAGTTTAATTCCCAAAACAATCTTTCATATGAGCATGATTTAAAGGGAATTTTAAAGTATTTATATATGAGAGGAAATATATCGTTTAGCAACAATTTTAGAAAATCTACTAACTATCTATATTCGGTTCGTGTGTCTGATTGTAAATTAAAATAAACATTAAAATTGCGTATTCTTCCATTGGATCAGTAGGTAATAATGTAAAATAAATGGTTTAGTAACATAATATTTTTAAAAAAAGGGGAAGGATGGATTTAAAATGCTTATAGCTAGTGTTGCGTAATCGGTTATAAATCTATGCTATGCCTACTAATTGTGCTTAGCCGAAAAATCGCGAAACTAAAATCAAAAATTAGGTATAGGCTAAGGAGCTAAGCTAGTCGTCCATCAGCGTTACGTAAGATAAGCTAGCCTCAATTATTATTTATTAAAATTATCTATATATAATTATTTTATTTATATTAACTATGCAACGCTGACGGGCCTCTAGCTGAGCTCCTTTGATGCTTAGGCTTAACCGATTTTTTCACCTAAAACTTGGTAAACCAATTTTAAAATTAAATACAGCTGAAGGTTAAAATATTATCCCAATAATAGCTTTTATTAGTTTACATATATAGGCAAAAAATCTTTTGAAATAATTAATTATTAGATAATTTTATTTAAGAAATAAAACTTTGATGAAAAATTTTTCATGATAGAATTTTAATTTTTAATAAAATATATAATCATTTACATATAAATTAAATTTTATAGCAAAGTTTTAACATTATTTTATAATTTGAGAAAGTTTTATGACTATTTATTATGTCTAGATATTATTTCAATCAAGATTAGTAAATTTAGAGCGATTGCTAAACCATAGACATCCATCCATTTGAATTTGTTTTTTTAGTAATTATTACATTATTCAATATGGTGCCAAAATACAAATCCAAAAAATTACAAAAGAATTTTATACATTCGTTAATTTTATATAAATTCGATAGTCTGCGAAATATACAAGATTAATATATAATATTAAGAAACTATTAATGATCAAATGCAATGATACACCACGCGAATCAGAATAACTAATTAAATTTTTCATAATCATTAATTAATTTTATTTCTAGATTTACTATCAAACATACTTGATTTTGTTACAATTATGGATTACATAATCATTTTAAAACCTATAAATAATGATCACCATCAAAAATTCACTAATCTATTGAAACAAATTCTCTTAAAAGATAAGCATACTATTTATTAATTATATATTTTCTTATTTCTCTATTCTTACCAATAATCTATGTAAATTACTGTCACTAAGTGGATCCTAGCTTATCCATAAGAGGTACCGTCAGTCCTCTTAAATTAAACGGGCCCTGACAGTAAGGTAGTCAATTAGTGGACCTGGCTTATCCACAAGAGGTACCATCATCCCTCTTAAATTAAATGGGCCCTGATAGTAGGGTAAATTTTTACTGCCAAACAGTGGATGCAAATTCACTGTGTGTTTCCCCAGTGAAAGACAAGACAAAAGTTTATTAATGATTATTTAAAATTACCAAAATTTATGGATTGAGATTATAATATAGTTAGGCTATTGAAATATATGAAGCTTGTAAACCAACAAGGATCACTAGCCAATTAACAGGTAAATTTATTTACTTATCTGTCTTTTTAAAGATATAATTACAATAATTTTATGTAATTTTTAACAATATAATCAAATTTTAGCAAATTTAATAACAGATTATTATGTAATAAAAATATAAATTATAATGGAAAAGATATTAAAATATTATTTAAATATTATTTTTAAATGTTATTTATAAATTTTATGTTCTTATATTTTAACATATAATGGATTAAAATGATGATAAAGTATAATATTATTGTATTAGCATTTAAGTTATTATTAATATAATCTAATATTTTGACATGTTTATTTTAGGTATTCTTATATCAAACTTTATGAGATATTACAAGAGAAAGAAAATGAAATATTTGCAAGAAAAATATAGTAAAAAAAAAATTATTCACAAAGATATTTGTCTTTATTATAAGCTGGATTACAGGGTTGCAGGTGCCTTAATTGGTAATACCTTAAAAACAAAGACCATTTAGTTATAAATTAAATAGGTATGAAGTGCTTAAAAAATATGAATACCTAATTTATGTAATAGAAGAAAAATAGTTTAAATGAATATTTATTTCAAAATATATATAAACCAGAGACCTGCAGAGGTACCATTTGCACGGCCCGGTCCGGATTTTTTTTTAAGAAAATTTTCGGGCTCGGATTTTTTTTCAAAAATTTTATACGGCCCTGCCCGGCATTTTTTTTTAAAAAAAATTTCAGGCCCGGCCCATATTTTTTTAAAATGTATTATACTTATTTTTGATTTTTATAGCTAATAATGGCGATTTAAAATATTTGGTTTTCAATATATAGCCCCGTCCGGATTTTTTTTAAAAAAAATTTCAAGCCCGACCCGGGTATATTTAAAAAAAATTAAAATTAGGCCCGACCCTAAACCAGGTCTCTGATATAAACCTTATTTTAATTTAAAAAATAAAATCAGAAGAAATTTAGAAAAATAAAATTAAAATTAGAAAAAAATGTAAATGCCATTCTTTTCCATTTGCGATTCTATTCTTTTCTTTATAGAAAGTTGTGGGGAAACAAAATATAAAAATTATTTATTTGAAGAGGCATAACCTATCCTTTATAAAAAATTTTAGTTTAAAAATATTAATTTATTAAAATTTAGAAAATATAAATTTCAAATTTTTTTTCTTCAAATAGTTTGAATATTTATTTAGAATATGTCAATAATCTATAATTACAATTACAACTACAATAAATTTAGTTTTGTGAGAAAATATTATATTATAAAATTGTATTCTCGATTTAGTGTTGAATTTGAGTGTTCCAAAATTAGCATTTTTTTATATAAATAGAGAAAAGAAAATATATTTTAAAATATTAATAGGTTTAAATTTATATTACCTTAATTGATTGGTTGTCCTCAATAACCACGTTCCAAAAAATTATACATGATTATAAAAGTTTGAAAAATCATACGGTATGTACTAATATCCAAGTAACATATCTCTATTGTTTTGCCTTGGATTTATATCTATATTTGTTTTTCATGACCCCAAAGAAGTTTCCAATAGGATTTAGTTGAGGTGAATATGGCGGAAGATATTAAATTCAATTTTTATAGCCATCGATAAGATGTGCCGTAATTTGTTTACCGAAGCTATTGAAATACCGATATGTTTGGCTATATCATATATCTTCATTTCTTCCATTTCAGGTTGGGATAACAATTTTTACTATTTCGATTTTCTCTTTATTCCAACAATTATATTTTCTTTTTGGGTTTTCAATTAGCGGTGGGTTTAAAAGGTTTATTATTGTGGAATTAGCACTTATGGCAGATTGCGAAAGTGCTGGAATGGAAAATGAATAATTAGATAAAAAGGAACTATCAAATATTGATGATGAATTTGTGATAATATTTTGATAATTAAAGAGGAATTTCTAAACTACCATTGGTATTATTGGATATAAAATATTATTTATTAAACATTTTTAATTTAAAAAATTATTTTTGAGAAATATTTTATTTAAGTAATAAATTTTTCGTCTTTTACATGAGGCATTTGTTTTAGGCACTTTAAACCTATTTAATATACCACTTAATGGTTTTTGTTTTTAAAATATTACCAAATAAGACACCTTCAACCCTGTATATAAAACATCATAATGGCGAAGAGTGGTACCAATGCAGAATGTGCCAAGGTTGAGTATATGGTACATGTTCAACTTTGATAAATTTTTATGTGAAAATGTTTATTAGATTAACCAAAATTTCAATTTTTATTTATAATTACCTTCAATTTATAAGTATTATAATATTTTCAACAATAAAATTATTCTATACGTATCATGATTAATAAATAAAAATGCATTTCAATTCACTATTGCCTAAAAAAATCAATGGTTTAAGAAGCCCCTTGAAGTGGTTTATCTAACCCCGCTATTGGAGCTTGTTGGACAAAATTTCTACTTTTATAAAAAAATTCAAACAAAAATATGATAATATTATTAAAATTTTTTATAAAGCATCTCTATAAGAGTATAGTTGCAGGTATCTATTCATATATTGTTTTTTATAATATCTTAAAAAACACGGGAGTTATTAACCGATTTAACAAAACAGTCTTCCTATAATTTAAAAAAACTTACTATATTTTAAATGTATACTTCGTTAATCATTTAGTGGTTTACTATTATTATTAAGTGGTTAAAAATTTTCACATGCAGCTTTGATTCTTTGAATTTCGTTTTGGAAGAGGCATTGATAAATTTGTTAATAGTGATAGGTATTTGAAAGATGTATAATACAGGTAACACAAATCAAAATATTAAATTGGATTTTCTTCTTTATATTTTTAATTAATAAATGATCATAAAATTTCTAAAGAAATATTAAATCAATATAATTTTCTAAAAAAATATCAAATCTATAAAAAAATATATAATAAAAATTTTAAAAAAATTCATTCAGGGTGCTAATCAAATTTTCCATAAATTCAAAGCCCCTGCGCGCCCCTTCCTAGTGACATTACTTAATTAATCTTAAAACTTTATAAATATACCGTATTTTATTTAGAGGGGCATAACCTAATTTCCAATTGGGTCTGATAAAGTATAAGATTCCGTTGAAGGCCCCTGGCAGGAGAAGACTTCTTATAAGCAAAATGGTCAGCATAACGTATGGAAATGTAGCAGTAAAATACACTATCTTTTGAGAATATTTTTAAAAAAAGTATAAAGTGAAAATCTGGGTTGTTTTATGGGATTTTTATTTTTCGGTACTCATTATTTTGATTTCGTTTTTTTGTATATTTGATTTTGTTTCATTTGTTTAAAAAAAAGGCTGCTTAGTCGATTAGCGAGATGTTTGGTAATAAGTCCAACTAGGACACACCCTTATTGCTTAATAGAAGTTATAATTTAATGAACAGAGCTAGGAATTTTTAATAACTGAGTTAAAATGTCTATGATCAGAGATTTAGCTATATTATTAGGATAACCAGGAAATCTAATTATTGATCGTATTGTATACTTTTAGATATGTGTTGAAGTCTATGAATTATATTATCTAGATGCATAAATAAGGTGTTTAATTCAATGCTAAAGTATAATTTAGATATCTAATTACCATTACTATAATGGGATTTAAATTATGATATGATATTGTCTAATATTTTCTAAAGGAATAATTCCTTTTAGAGTATAAGATTTTGGAAAATTTTTACTTGGCGCAGCCTATGAAATTGAAAGGGAATTATTTTCATCCTTCCCTTACTATCAGGACAAAATCGAATAGACTATTTGATAAATTTTACAGTTTGTTGAAAAGGATCTGACATTATGAGAAAATATAATGAATCTATTTAACAGCTACCACGAAGGATTTAAGATAATTTTCTTAATATTAGGTGTACCATCACTATAACATAATAAATAACCTCCTTTCTTACACCAGATTTAAGTTAAAAAAATTTAATATATATTCACTGACCACAATAACAAAAATTTTGTTCGTGAATTATAATATGGCAAAATCTATAAAATTTCTGTGGACAATTTGAACCAAGAACAAATGAAATTAAACCCCAAAAAGATTTATAGTGAAAACTTATTTTCAGATGCTGCAAGAAATTCTATTGGAGAATAGATATCATCTTCCAAGTAACATTTGGAAATCCATATTTTCCAATATTCAAAATATTAAAAGAATGTCAAGAGTGTTATATATATGTTATAAAGGTTATCTTATTTGTAATATAAGATTATTATTTGAGTATATGATTAGAGGTGGGCGCGGGCCATGTAACACATGTGACACGATGGGTCAGGTGGGTCACGGCGTGAGTGTGAATAAATTATCAGGTGTGACTGGGCGTGAAGAGCCATCTCAAAATTTTTGCCGAACTTGATTGGGCTTAAACGTAAATTTCTCGTGAATTACAGAAATTTTAATTTTTAAAATTGTTTTTTTATAAATATAAATTACCAATTTTATAATTATAATATATATTTTTTCTAATTTAATTTAATTCTTTTTGAAAATAGAATAATTTTTAAAAACAAACAAAATTACGCATTTTAATAACACATTTTTTCCCTGTCTTATAAAATTTCACTTGAATGAAAAAGAATTTAAAGTCTCAACTCTCGTTCAGCAATGGAAATTTGATAATAAATTTAATTTAAATAGGTTTTACTTTCATTTATCTCCTAAATCATAATTAATCAAAATTAAAAGGAAAATTAAACAACTTAAAAACTTATTGTTTAAATTTTTTCATATTTACCATAAAATCTAAAAGATAATTGAAGCAATTTCTCTATATATGCTGTTATGTGCATTCAAAGAGGAGGAAAGGATACCATGTTCATGCTATATATTAAATAACATAATCCATTTATTTTTGTTAATTGTTTACCTGAAAGAGCTCGAAATATAAATAGTGTAAAAATGATAGTACAATATCTTAAGCAATCTGCAGCAATCAGCAAGCTAAGTCATTCCATTAAGTAAGACATAAAAATGAGATGGAACTCTATATATCATGATACAAAGTTTCTTAAAATCATATGATGAAATACAAGTTTACCTGCTTAACATACAAGAATTAAATAGATTATCGACTATTATATAAATATTATATACCAGTTAGATATTCTTTTATCACTATTTAAAGAATGCTCAGATAATCTGAGTGCAGATTCTCATCCTACTATAAATAAAGTTTATTTATGGAAACAACTATGAATGAAATTTTGTCAACCTTCAAAATGTGATATAGTAAAAATCAAAACTCTAAGAAACAGAACAATATCTCTTTTAAAGGAGAGATTTTTTATGCTTAAATAAAATTTCAAAAGTCTTAATTATAACAGATGATGAAAAGGCAGATATATTTATATAAATTTAAAAATGCTAAATAATTAAAAATTCGACGACATGCATAAGGCAATGCCAACTATAAATTTTAATTTTTCTAACTCATCCTACATTTATTTCTAGATTATTCTAATTCTGATGAGGCGAAAACACCTATCAATTTAAGTTGTGAGGATGAACTTAAGAGATTCATCTTTCATAAAACAAATAATAATTAAAATATTTTGAAGTTTTGAAGAAGGAAAATTAGTTTCCTTTTTTGAGAAAATTTGCTATAAAAATTTTATTAACTACGCCAAGTTTGGCTTCCAGTGAAAGATTATTTTTCTATAGCCAATCGCTTATTAGAAAAAAACGAACACAATTAAAATAATGAACATTTTTTTTAAATAAAAATTTTGATTTATAAATGGTAATTATGTTGTTTGTTATTAATATGAATTTAAAGAAATAAAAAACCAAAAATAAATTCAAAAAAGCGTAAAAGTAGCTTGAGAAATTTGGAAAAAAAATTAAAAACCGTGAATTTTTAGGGCGATCAAAATTTTGTCTTTTGTGAGCGGGCAGCTCGGTTTAAAAATTTTTGGCAGCAAGAATTAAAGGACGTAAATTTTTCATTGCCACCGTGAGCGGGAGCGTCTTGAATAAATAATTAGGTCCGGTCTACCTCTAATTATAATATATCATTTTAGATTAATTATGGAGGTTGTTTTAAATTGAATAACTTATATATTAGAAAGTATATATAGATAAGAATTAATTATAAAGATTACCCTTTCCATAAAAAAAGGAGAGCTATTGAAAGATGCCAGCATTTTGAATTAATTTTAACAGATAAAAAGCAGTGGAGGAAATGATATACAAAAATCTTACGGATGAGTTAAATGATTTATCAAATATCATTGATTCAAATATGTTTCCCAATGTTTTATAAAAAGGTGATTTGTGTCTTAACGTTGTCATAGGATTAGTATTCTTGTTTCAGTGGCCATATATGAAATATTATAGAGCATTTTTCCATATTAAAACTGTTCAAAGGTTATTAAAGATAGTTTATACCAACAGCGATTGCCATTAGCAATAATTCTATTGAATGTAATTTTAAAAGATATAGAAATATTGTTTACCTCCAGCAAAAAAATTAAAATGAAATTTTTATTTTTATCAAACTAAAATTTAAAAAATAAATAAAAGAAGGATAGCATTTCTTGTTTTTTAAATTTATTAGTTTTAAGAAAATATTCGAAATATGTGATTTAATAAAAAAAAACCGATTTAAGGGAAATCAAAGTTTTCAAAACTTTCAGGTGCGACCTAATGCTCAAAATCTTTCTTGATTTGGCTTTTATAGCTGTTTCATCACGAAATGAGTATGTATATGGTCGTAAATATTTAGTAATAATATCAGGGATATCTAATGGATTTTATAGGATGTTTCGAATTATGTAACTATATTATATGTAATATTAGAATTCATAAAAAGCCTATATCTTACATCTTACTATGTTATACATAATAAAGAATCAAAGTCTAACTTTTCCGGTGGATTTAATACCCTTGATCAAGCATAGGTATGCTATGGTCCATGCTAGTATGAAATATCCAGCTAATTTCCAATTTATGCTTCCCATGTGATGAAGCCCTTCGGATATATTTAGTACCTTATAACTAATTGATTTAAACAAATATAAATGAAATAAATTATTTAAATAAAGGGATTAAATAGATTATATTTACCAACTATTTTATTTAAAAAAAAATTAGCAGGGGTCTGTGTCCACCCCTTTCTCACTCCGCACATAATGTAATTGAAATTGTATCAAGTCAATACGGCAAAACATTTCAGCTAATGAATTATCGCGAATGTATTACCATGAAAACAATACCGCGAATGCATCACGGATCTATAATAGATCATCAATTAATATATTTTTATTTTTATCATATTTCGGAAACTATAATTTTGTTATCTTTTGGGATTGCAAGTCCTATAATATTTTTCCACCTATTTCAATATTCTAACCTATCTAGAAAGGTTCATACCTTTTTCAAAGATGCGGAGATATGGATGGATTCATAAAGAGAGATCATCAAATAATACTTTTTTCTTATGGCACTTATTAACTTTAAAATCACTATCACTATTCTCAGTGCCCTAAAAAAATTAGTGAGATCCGCTAGATTAATAAAAATATAACTATGAAAATGAAATAATTTGCTTTAAAAATTCCCTTTAATAATTTTTAAATTTATACATATTTTTTTCAAATCATTAAACAACAAAAGGATTGAAATATCTAATATATATAATCTCCATAATCAAAACATGATCGTTTTCGTATCTTCCTAATGTATTTAAAATTTAAGGAGACTATATAGTGTAATGTTATTTTTTTGCTCACTATGAGAGTCGAACACAAGCCTCCCGTTTCAAAGTCGTATGTTTTAAGCATGCACCAACTTGAATATAATTAAATTTAAAATATTAATTATATATATATATTAATAAATATCTGATATTTTTAAAATTCTGCCGTTTATTACCATACTAGCTGACGGGGTTGAAGGATAAATTTAGTTTGTGTGTATGGTACTAAATATACTATATTAATAAATTTTATATAAATATTAAAATTTAGAAGAAAAAGGGGTAAAATTGTTGCAATATATACCGTGAGCATGTATTAGAAATCAAAATTAATTTGTGATGGAAATCATATTGGATAAAATTTAAAATGGAGATGCTTTAAGATTGTTGAATTTTAAATATGGGTTATACATTGGCCTGAAATTATTTTGCAGACATAGCCAGGCCTGATCAAAAAACTAAATCCCATGCAACTTTCATAAAATTTTGCCATTAATAATTTAATAAAAATGTCTTAAATTTAATTTTATATTTAGAATAAAATTTAGATTTGTGATAGAAATCATATTGTGTAAAATGTAAAATAGAAATGCTTGAAAATTTTTTAATTTTAAATATGGGCTAGACATTGGCCTGAAAATTTTTTTTTGCTGAAATCGCCAGGCCTGATTAAAAAACCAAGCTCATGCAACTTTCATATTCAGATTTTATTTTTAAATGAATTATGACTTTTATATATTTATTTCAGTTCTTAACTAACAAAATTATTATGATCTTTGGCGGGCTTGAGAAAATTTTCTCAACATTATGAGCATGAACCTGTTGGGAATTTTTTTATATTAAATATTAGACATAATATTTATATGGGTCTCAGGTAAAAGCTAAATTAAATATATTTTTACAAAATAATATTCACTATTAGTCCTAATGAGTTGGTCTTGGTCTGAAGTAGGATTGAGCGGGATTAAAACGAATAAAAAATGAATATGGTTTTTAGAGATTTACATATCTCCAGGCTTGAGAAAAATTTAAAAATTATTACGCATTGGCCAGGTTTGAGAAAATTTTTTAAAATTATTATGGGTGGGGCTAGGCTTGGAAAATATTTTTATGAATTATATTGGAGTGGACTTATGGAAAATTTTTCAAAATTATTATCAACTTGGACGCTTGGGAATTCTATTATCCACTATGGATTAGATATTGACTTAAAACAAATTTTTTTGCAGGCCTGGGGACCTGGACTAAAAGGGGGAGGGGGTTATAAAGAATATTTTCAAATAAAAGGTAGCAACTATCATAAAAGTAGGAAAAAAAACTAACTAATTACCTCTCAACCCCGTCATTCTTGACGGGCTATTAGCTAGTAATATTATAATAACAAATTATTAAGTAACGAGTAACGTAAAAACGTAAAGTGTTACAAAAACCTTCATGTGCTATAATTATTTGGGCCTCGTATTTGTAGTCAGGTTCAAAAGGTCTTATCAATAATTCAAAGTATATTTTGTTTGAAAATAGGAAATAAAAGAAATCAATCTAATTTAACGAATATTTCTGTTTTTTTTTAAAGTATGTAAAGTAATCGGTAATAGGGTTAAAAAAATGTGTATAAGAAATAGGGAATTATCGGGAAGAGGAAATATGAAATTTTATATGTTGTCCGGAATTACTTTCATCAGGAAAAAAAAGGGAATTTTATATATTACCAGGAAGTGTTTTATAAAGTGTGCATAAGAATAAATTTAAATTGAATGTATTAGTTATTTATCATTTAAAAGATGAACTAATCCCAATTAAAGGTATAGTTAATTTATCAATAAACAGAATTATACACATAAAATTGATAGTTGTTTATGTTCGGAATTACTTTCATCAGGTAAAAAAAAGTAATTTATATATTACCAGGAATTGTTTTATAGAGTGTGCACAAGAATAAATGTAAATTTAATGTAATAGTTATTTTTATCATTTAATGAACTAATCCCAATTAAATGTGTAGTTTAATTAATTAATAAAATAATACACATAAAATGGATAGAAATTATGTTATATATTTTAAGTTATATTTTTTTTTGCAGGGGAAAAATGAATGTGATAACAGCGAGTGTTATTAAAAATAATTTTAGGAATAGTAAAATATATGTTAATCATGAATAAAATAGATGTTTATATTAAATTGATAATTTTTGTAATGACTTAGAGGTGAGATAAATGTTAGTTAATTTGTTCTTCTTTAATATATAGTACAAGAGTGTAGGATTGGAAAGATCGTTAGCAAGAAGATAAGTGTAAAAATTTTCGTTTTTCAGATCAGGGAGCTAATGTTTTTATTGGCAAGGCTGTGTCCAAAATGCTTTGGGAAAAACTTCATAATTTATAAATTTTGGCAAATTAAAAACAAAACATTTTGCACACAGACAAGTTTTATAAGGCTGTGTCCTAAATGTTTTGAAAAAAACCTCAAAATTTATAAATTTTCACAAATTAATAAAATTATGAAATATGTCGGATATTTCCCATCATTTTTTTTACAAAAAAAACAAAAAAAAACAAAAAAAAACAAAAAAAAAACCAAAAAAAAACCAAAAAAAAACCAAAAAAAATAAAGGAAAAAATAACAACCAAAAAATAATAACCAAAAATAATAACCAAAAATAACAACCAAAAAAATGATGTATAACACTATTTTATTTTTACATTAAAAATAGCTAATGTTAATTTTTTTCTTCAAAATTTATTTATTTATATTTTTTAGATTTTGGACACAGCCTAAAGAATATTAAAATTTTTTGTTGAATGAAATTATTTTGAATGCCGATAATAACTAAGTGAAAAAAAAATATGTACCTAATAGATTATAAAATGTGTAGAAATGGAAGTATTTTTTTTATAAAAAGGTTAAAAAAAGTCAAGAGGAATATTTTTTTATGTGATCTTTACAAGGTAGATTTTTTATAAAAAGGTTAAAAAAAGTTAAGAGGAATATTTTTTTATGTGATCTTTACAAGGTAGATTTTTTTAAAGGAGAAGAAAAAAATATTTTTTGTGTTAGTCTGATATTTGGGTTACTAAATAAATATAATGAATTTATGGGTAGCAAATAGTAAGAGGTAATCAGAGGGAAGATTTTTATTATTTCTTTGTTGTAGGTACCCTATTATGGACATCAATAATTAACAATGATATAGAGTCACTTGTGAGCGAGTTAATATTTTTTAACAAGGCATGGATGCCCGGCTTTCCCGACCCGGAGCATAGAAACACCAGATCCAACAGGGAAGATGGAGTACAATGGTACTTCTGTAGGGGTGGTTTGGTTCCAGGGTGAGGGGAAGGACATTTAGGACGAGACTGTCTGCAGGCAGGAATACCAAAGAGACAACTGGGGTGGGTCGGAGGTCAAGGCTGCACCATGAAACGTCGTAGATACCTAAGTGACGTAACCACGGAGACTTTTTGGAGTCGATGAAGCCCCAACAAGACAATTCATCGGCCTAGGAATATTTGGACCTCTGGATCCCGCAGGAGTTGGAAGAGCTATCGGCAATATTGTCTGTAGTGACTCTTTCCCACTGGAGTATCTTGGTTATCGGTGCGAGAGGTATCATAAATGCATATATATTTTTGGATTTATATGTTATTTTGGTTTTTGTAGGATGTCTATCGAGGTGAATGAATTCATTATTTTGGTAATTGACTCGATTATGAGAATCATTGTGAATTGCGTTTCCCCTTGTGTAAGGATTTAATGTTATTCTTATTATTACTATTTATGTTAACTATTATTTGTGTTATTTTTATTATGGGATTTTATATTATTTGTGATTTTATTTATATTTTTACATATTCCCTCCTTCGACACAAATACTATTTAATGACCTAACTTTTTACTACAATTAATTTATCAAGTTCGAAATTTAAAAGTATCAAAAATCTACCATTTTATAGTCGATTCCGCTTAAATAAAAATAACGCAAATAAAATAGTTCACATAAATATACTACAAATAAGCAAAATAAAATATAATCCCAATATGTATGACATACATGATAAATATATGGCACTCATTTTCTGTAATCCTGTTTAAAAATTTATAATATTTATGTAAAAAAAAGAAAACCTTATCCTGGCTCTTTAAAAAGATTGTTTCCGCCCGATCCTTATTTTAGGTTCATTTTTAGAGTTCACTTGGTCTGTTAGGACAATAAATATAAAAATGAAATCCCCACCAAATTGCATACCCGATATTTGCGATTGCATTCGAACGAATTCGTGGCAATGTTTTAAAGGTACTACCGCGGAAATGCATTCGCGATTATGATTCCACGACAATACATTGGCTGTAATTTATTTACAGCAATGATTTTGCTGTAATGTATTCGCAGCAATGATTTTGCTGTAATATATTAGCGATGCATTTACGGTATTAATTTTGCGATATTATACTCACAGTAATGCATTAACGGTAGTATATTCGCGGAATTATCTTTTCGCGATAATCGACATTCACAATAATTGTATCTCCCTGTGTAGTTTAGATATGAAATAAAACTTTAATAGAAGATAAAAATATATTAACTGCCAAAATTCGAAGGTTGAAGTAGATTTACTCCTTAGATCTCCAATCATAGTTTCATTCCTGTGAACCTGATCTTTTAGCACGATACAAGAAGGAGAATTCCATTTGTGATTGCACTGACTCCAGGGAAGCATCGAGGTGAATGAAGAAAATAAGTAAAACAGAATAAAAGCGATAAGTAAATTGTAATACACATTGCAGATAGTTGTAATGACCAGGGTTCCTATCCCAACACCTTTAATTATTTTTAAAAATATCGATTATATGGATAAAATCTCTAAATTTTACAAAAAAAAGTGGTAGAGTACGGAGAAAACGAAAAGGCCAATAATAAGGATCAAGTTGAAGTTCTTAAATTTATTAGAATCTAATGAACCAAAGAAGAAAAAAGAAAAGGGATTGTTGATATTGTTAGAGGGGGTTTATTTAAAAAAATATATTCCAGAAAAGTAGGAAACGATAAATTAAAAGTTTAAAAAAAATTATTTACGAGGTATACCTCTAAATAGTGGACATATGTCCCACACTTTAATGGCTCCTTTATTAGAAAATTGACCCAGTGAAACCTCGAGAAAAAATAGCGGAATCCCACAGGCAAATAACATCAAACTGTAAGGAATCAAAAAAGCACCTTTAATAAGTTGTATTAAAATATTTAAAATGATGCAAAAAATTATCATTTTTTCTTTCTTTCTACCCGATTTCTTCATTGGTAATAAAATATAAGATTAAGTAATTTTATATATATTCCTGGAAATAGGCCTTTAAATAAGAGTTTATAAGATACAAAATATTTGTTGATTGTCAAATGCCCCCTCCCTCTCCCCGAAAAATGTGAATATGTCATTATAAATTATTATTTTTTAAATAAGTAGAAATTAATTATTTTTTGAAAAAATAACTATAAATTTTTAAGAATAATATAACAAAAAATATAACAAACCAAAGATCTTCAAAGCGGGCTTAAAATTCTTCAATAAAATTAATGTGGATTTAAGAAAATCCTGGATATTTCCGTGAATGCTTATGAAGTTAACATGTTACAGTTATATACTTCAAAAATATTTTTTAAATTGTATTTGTAACTTTCTTTACCACGAATTCGCGACGAAGTTATACAAAATATGCTGTATTTTTGTGTATTTTTATATACTTTACCGTATATTTGCGCTAACTCTGAATTCAGAGAAAGACAACTTAACATCAAGTCATTCAACTTCAACTTCAAATCCAAATTTATTTTTTCAAAAAATCGATTCATCCTTAAATTTTTGTTGATCAATTTTTTTTTCAAATCTCTTTACTTAATATTCAAGAATGAACTGCTTAATCAGATTCCGACATTTTAAAAAATAAGGAAGACAATAAATATAGAGAATGACAGGAATTTAAGTGAAAAAAAACAATTAAAGAAATAATTCTACTAAAAAATATCACAATTTATACCTAAAAAAATATAAATAACAAAATAATTAAAATTCATAAAAAATTGGACTTAATAATTTTCATTTGACTCTATCAACAAATTATTTTTAAATCGCTGTCTAAGAGGAATGCTAAGTTCTTCTTCTAATTTTTTACAGGGTTGCTTGGCGTAAATGAAACTTAATAATAAACAATTTAAAATTTGGAAATCATAATATAAAATAATGAATGAAATATATAGTAATGTTGTTAGAAGTTATTTAAAAAATAACTAGTTTCTTTTGTCGTTACTTTCCAAAAATATTAGTTATTTTAATTTAGTTACTTTAACGATACTATTTAGGTATAAAATGCAAAATTGATAATAATTATTAGTGCTGTAAAGTAATCGAAGAAAGTAACGTCGTTACTAACTGGGTTATTTTTTGGGGAAGAGGAACCCCATTTGTTGCTTGTTTCATATACGCAATAATGTTCAGCACCATGAGGGTATTTTTAAAAAAAATTTAGGCCAGGGGCACTTAAAAAAAATTAGGCCCAGCCAGGACATTCAAAAAAATTTTTTAGGCCCGGCCCGGGTTTATTTGATATTTATATATTTATTAATTACTACGTTTTGTATAATTACAATTACAAAAAAATAATTTAATCCATTACTCTAAACTGAAAGGAAGAATGTCTATTATTAAATTTACTTGTATTATAAAAAAAAAACTATTAAAATCATAATCCTAAATATATCATATTATTCTTTTTCATACACAAAATATATTATTATAAAGAAGATATAATAATTGAATAAGTCATGATATTTTATCCTTTATGCATAATGTAATAATAAGAATGTTTCGGATTTCCTAGTGCTATTACTAAAATTACAAATAAAGCTAACCATCATAGCTTTGAGTGATAACATTTTTACTTTAATATTGCTTTAATGATCAGTCTATTTATATTATAAGTAGTACTATGTTTTCTTGAAAGAGACATTTCTAGCTTTTATCATTTGTGGAAAAAGTTCTAATGTAGATTTGCAAATAGTAAATTTAGGCCAGGTAAATATATTATATGAAAATTTTAGGAAAAATTTACAATTTCTAGTCCGTGCAGTATTTGCTAAATTCCGCTTATTAAAAAATGTTAGTTCTATTTTATAACGTTTTTAATGAGAAATTGACCCTCCTCAAAAACTACCCTTACTCCCTTAAAAATTCCTTCTAGCCATTATACTATAGTACCGATTAATTGAGATATTATTTTAAAAATATTTTTTTAATTAGTTTGGCAGGTTTAAAAAAAACTTATTTGTAGGCATTGTCAGGGTTGCCATTTATTTTAAAAATATGCTCGGATTTCAAATGTTTACCTCCTCCATTCCTATAGCATAAATTAGGAAATCGCCATATGTTTCCTACCCCCACAGCATACCCTATGAGAGAGAATATAAAATCTAGTTGACGATTCCAAGCCGGTCGAGATCCTCTGTAATCATCATTGGTTTGAGCTGTTGAATCGAAAATAACACCCGAAGGAGTTACGTCTTCAGATTTTATAGAATTAGTCATCTATAATTAATTTACAATTGAAAAAGATTCTTTTAAAAATCCTGTGATATCATAATTTAGTTTCTATTTAATTTTTTAATATAATTATAGAAGTAATCATTTTATTTACCTGTTCATAAAAAATTGAGTCTTATTCTATATTTTCCATTTTTCAATTTTTCTATGTTGATAAACTGAGCACAAGTTGAATAATTAATAAGCAAATATTTTGCAGTATTTATCGATTGATTGAGGACGATTCGGTCAAATATAGGTAAAATGCATTGTATTTAAGGAAAAAAAAGATTAAAATTTTTATTGTTACTTATTGGGATAGTGGCTGAAATCAAAGGCATGCCATGAGCAGATTGTTTTTATTTTTTACCTGATTAATTTATCGAATAAAATACATTTTTTGCAAAATAAAAAATTTATTTTATTTTTTTTGAAAATTTTCTTGGTATTTTTATTTCTAAATTCAAATTTTCAAAGAAATTTCCTAAGGCAAAAGAATTTATGTTTATTTCAATTTTGTTTTTTTTTGCATTTTTTGGCTTTTAATATAATAATAAATTAACCTAAATGATAATTATATACCAAATGTATAAAAAGATTTAAAAATTAAACTATAGTTTGAGAATATTATTTTAAAAAAATTTTTGAAAAAGAAAAAAAGGAATAGAAATAAAAAAAAAACAAGCAAAATTAATATACAAAGTCAAGAAGTTAACAGCTGTTTTACAAATATAAGTAAATACATAATTATAAAAAAAGTTATTTTTATCCCTGAACTAGATAACAATTAGTGCTTTTTTTAGCATAATTTTTTTTTCAGTTTCCTTAAGTTTTTGAAAAGGAGATGGTGAAAGGGGGGATATTTTTTACCAGATGTTAAAACAAAATAAAATGATACTATTATATTTTTATTTTAATCATACTTAAACATTAATCTATGTTAAAAAAATTTTAAATAACTTTTTTTAAAAAAAAAACTTTTTAAAAAAAACATATTTTTTCACATATCATTTACATAATTTAATATTTTTGTATATTTAATTTAATATTATTTTCAATCTTATAATGTTTAATATAGACTACATTCTTTATAACTTTAATACATCTCCTTTACTCTCAAGTACTTCTGTAAATTATTCTTTGCCAATCTCAGATGGGAATGATATGGAAAATTATCAATCACATTCTAATATTTCTGCAAATAATAATTCTTTAGCAACTATTAATGAAAATATAAATCATTCTCAAATATCATCCATTCCTAAACCCAAAAGAACATACAATTGTTGGAACAAAGATAAAATTGAAATGAATTTGTTAATATGTCGAAGGCATCAATACATAAAATAAAACGGGATACATTCCCAGAAATTATTGGTGAGCCCTTAAAGGAATTCTCGCTTAAACAAAGGGGGAGAAAAATTAAAGACACAGCAAATATTGAAAGGCAAATTATGGATTTGCTAATCGACAATAATACCTTCACGGTGAAGGATATAATTGAGAATTTTCCCTCTGGTTCTCCAAAAAATATTGGAACTATAAGGAAATATATTAAAAACCCGATGGTCCAAAAAAAGAGCTGGGAAAGAACCAGATCGCAGGAATACACCAGGAGCTATCAATATTCGACAGGTGTATTGCCGCAAATTGCTGAACATCTCCAGAGAAAGACTCTATTTTCTCGACGAAACAGGCATCAATTTTCATGTTGTACCTGTCTATGCTTGGGCACCACTCAACGTTAGACCATCAATAAAGGTGCCACCCTCAAAAGGGAAAAATGTAAGTGTACTTTGCACTATAGGAATTTGTGGAGTTATACATTATAAAATCATCGAAGGATCATATAATGGTATGTTATTCAGAAATTCATTAATGGATATTATTAGTATATTACCACCAGATGACATATTAATTATGGACAATGCGTCAGTACATAAAAGTCATCTAATTGATGACTATAAAGAGAGAATTGAATATCTTCCCCCATACTCACCACAATTAAACCCAATTGAAAATTTTTTCGGGGTTTTCAAAAACAAGTACAGGTCATTAATTCCCAGACCAAGTACAAGGGAATATATAATAAATAATATTAATCAAATAATGAATCAATTTATTCCATATGATTTTACAAATTTCTATAATCATATGCAACATTATTTGGAGCTGGGCTATCGTGGACTACCTCTTGACTAAAGTAATCTAATTATATAATAAATAAAAGAAAATATGTGATGACAAAACTTTTTATATTTTTTTAAGTGTGACATTTAAAAAAGTTGTTTAATATTTTTTTAACATAGATTAATGTTTAAGTATGATTAAAATAAAAATATAATAGTATCATTTTATTTTGTTTTAACATCTGGTGAAAAATATCCCCCCTTTCACTGTAATATGAATACCCTAAAATGTCCAAATCGGATGAAATGAAAAAACTGATTAAATCTTTAAATAAATTTAGATTTATTAACCAAGAGTTCTTAATTAAGGATTTAGATTCGTCATAGAGGCTTGTTTTATCATTTGAATTTATATTAGGTGTAGGAAAGGGAGATTGGGATGAAGCCCTATATTTATAGATCCGGATCTTATGATTTTATACAATGTTTTTAATGATATATTTAGGTAAAAAAAAATGATAACATATTATTTAAGATAATCTGAGCAATTTAGGATTAAACCATTCTCCATCACAATTTATTGTATCATAATAGAATTTATAATAATAATTAGTTCTTATAATAAGTATAAGCATTAAGGGTAAGTTGAAACAGCACACTTGGAAACATTTGTGTCAATCATCCATATTTTCTAACAGCGCAATATTTGCTATAAAAAAATAATAATTGGGCAGATGCTGCTTATTAATATATTAGATAGAGGAGTTCAGGGACTTCTACTCCAGGTGGGATGATGAAAGATCGCCATTGATATTAGAGGGTAACGGAAAATCTATAGTCATTTGTATCAAATTGGAGATGGGGGGGGGGGTGATTTAGATCTTTTTGTTGTTAATTTTGATTTTGTAGGATGATAAAATTTAAGAGAAGGTAACGTTATCATTGGCTTAGGGGAGTGAATAAGTGAAGGTAGTTTCCGAGCCATTTTAGTAATTCAATGTCTGGGCATTATCCTCAATTTAAATTTCCCTTTCTGTATGATATCTAAAAATTGTAATGGTGGCTTGGAATTTTTAACAAAATATTTTGAATAATCTTTATAATTTGAAATCTTGGATTGAGTAGGCGGTTCAAAATATTTTTATTTATAAATGTATTAAATTACAAAATATCCATAGAATAAAATACTGAAAATTCTGCATTATCAGGGCTATCAGATCATTGATTGGTAAATTAGTTTCTAAATCATAATAGGTTTCTTTTGGGCGAAAAATGGTTCTACAGATTCTTTGAATGTATTTAGTAATATTATGTAGGTCCGGATATTTTGGTATATATGTCATAAAAGTTTAGACATCTATTTGCCAAATCTCAAGGCTTACATAATATTATTTTGGCTAAAATCTTAAAGGCCATTTTTAGAAATCGACTTAAATTGGGCCGTTTAACTATACTAATCGGGATTAATTTTTCACGAAATTTTTTTAGAAAATTTCCCGATCCCATACAAATTTTGTTTATCCCGAAAAGCCCTACCTGAACTAAAAAAAAATATTTGTCTGTTTAGCCTCGCCCGGATTTAAATAGAGAGGAATTTAGTATTTTTTTAAATGTATAAAATATATTCTACAATGCCTTGCTATTTACAAGAATTTTAAAATATCGCAAATTATTTCACAAAATTGAATGTCATATTTAAAATTTAAGCCTGATGTGCGTCCCGGCTCGAATTTGTTTAAAAATATGTTACAACTTAGCCCGAACCAAAATATTTTATAAAAATATACCAGGGCGGGGTATGGGCTGAGCCGGAATTTGCAGATCTCTAATATGAGTTTCATGAGTTTTTGTGCCCTTATTATTTTCCTTCAAAATTATTTTGCTGAAATACCTCCAGACATGCCAGTTTTTTGTTATTAAACATCGTTATTATTTCATAGAAGGGACCCGGAATAGTTAGGAATAAACCACCTAATCACTGAACCGATATAATAACTTTTTGAAGGTGTAAATAAAAGAACCTTAATAAATAGGGTGAAACCGGATTGAATCGCTTTCAGGCAAAATAGAATAAATATTTTATATTTTTTTCGTTTACATTCTTTTCCTTGCATATTTTACTATATTCGTATCGTTTTAAGGTTTCAAATTATATAATTATTAACAAAATATTTGTTTAATATCATAAGTATATATTAATTTTTTTCACTATTACTTAAATTGATCAACAATCTTTTAACTGCTTCTAATAGTATTAGAGTCTATTTCTATTTTCTCTATTTTAGTATGCAAAATATCTAAGTAACCAATTTGTAAATAACATCACTGCCTACCCATGAGTAGTTTGATATAAGGGCCATTCTTCCCACATAAATTTCAAAATGACCAAATTTATAAGGTTTTGATTTTATTATAGAATTTTGGCATCTGAGTATATTAGTATTGTTATAACCAGGGATGCGAACCCTGCAAAATTTTTGCCCTGGTTAGGTTCGGGTTCGGTTTAAGGTTAAAAAAAGGTGGATTTGGTTCGGGGGTTCAGGGAAATATTTTTAAACCCTGGTTTGGTTCCGGGTTAAGGCGGGTTTAAGAATTTTTGAATTGATAAATAAAAATTCTATATTTAAATCAATTAAAAAACTAGGCATAAATTTGGTATAAAAAATAAATTTTATATTTTATTCCTAGGCAAAATATAGTTAAAAATACCAAGCAGTCATGTATCAATTTTATATTTAGACATATTTCATTAAATTAACATATCCAATATAATAATTTTTACTTTGACTTGTTCACTTTCATTTTCCTCTAATTAATAATCATTGAGAATAAGTTAAAAATTAAAAATAAATAGGGTAAATGAATTTAATTGTTAAAAATTTATTAACACTCCAATAGGAATCTTTGAGAATTAATTTAAAAAAATTTAAAATGGCGTAAATGAATTAAGTTGTTTAAAATTTATTAACACTTCACTTAATTGGAAATTTGAAAATATTATAAAATCTCAATTAAATTATTAATATTTATATATAAAATTATACAAATATCTTAATATATGATTTTAAACAATACACTGAACCCGGTTGAACCAGGGTTTAAATAAAATTCCCAGGTTCGGTTCGGGGTTTTTAAAATTTTATAAACGTGGTTCAGGTTCGGTTCCGGTTCAGATTTTTTTCCTAAAAACCCGGGTTTTCTTCTTCAGGTTCGTTGGGTTCGGTTGGACTGGTTATAACTTTTATTATGAAAAATAGATTTTGTGTTGTCTTGAAATACAAGTATTTGCAAAGTTGTTCAAATCTATTTTTTATTTTGTTTACTTAATGTGATGAATTGTAAATCTACTAATAATATCCATATGATGTGGCTTTACAAATTGATGGTGAATTCTAATTAGTTTACCAATATCATAATCTTAGAATATTTCTTTGTTCTGACCTATATATTTTATTGTATTTATGTTGACAATTTTTAAAAATTTATTTTATTTTCCTCTAGAAAAAATTTAAACGGTCCTCACCAGAGTTAACCCAGTCCGTTCTTTTTTAAAATTAATATTCCATTAAATGAATCAGACTGCAACGTGTATAAGTGCAAAATCATACTTAAAGCTGGACATGGAGGTAATTTGGAAAGGTCATTCTAATGAACATGAATCCCTAATTATGAAAAAAATTAAAGCTTTCCAAATCTATCTTGTCATCAATATCGAAATCTAATCATGATATTTATATTGAGCAGTCATTAAATTTTGGGTTAAAATGGATAAAAACATATTAATAATTTTGTACAGTATTTTAATTCTTATATACATTTTATGTATTATTCATAGATACTTTAAAAATAAATTAATTTCATCTATTTTATAAATAAACAATATTTAACTTAAGTGTGGCAACAATTTTAACAAATAATATTCATAATTAATATCATATTTTCGATAAAAATAATTATAATTTTTTTTATATAACCGGAATAAACCTTTATAAACCTTTACAATTAGCTGAATCGAATCTTTATAATTTTTTTCTAAGAACAGTAAATGAACCGTAACCATTATAAATTTTTATATAATGAACCTTAACCAAACTGAACCGTTATAAATAAAGGTCCGGGTCCCTGTTTCATAGTGGCTAGTTCATTAAAATAAGAGGGATATTGATAAATGAATAATTGTAAATGAAAAATGCCATACATTATACAGTAAACCTTATCTTTAACTTTGATTTTAGTGCTTTTTATGCATATCCCACCCATGGTTTTTATTTAGCAATGTCGTATTGGTTGGGTTTGTATGATAAATACTCCCCATCATTGTGATATAGATAATGTATATTTTCTGTGTTTTTTATTACTAATAAACACATTTTTATTTATAGCAGAGTCACTGTTTTATTCATAACTTTGAGTTTGTTTTCTACTCTTAATACACACATTTTTATTTCCCCTCGTTGTTGTATAGTTTTTTTTGTGAGCATCCTCATCTATAATTTACACAAACAAAACATTTGGAAAAATAATGTTTAATCAAATGGGTTTTTGTGTTGGGTAAATAGCAGGGGAAACTTGATTATAAATTTTTCCTATTTTTTTAATATCTGATTTTTATATGAACTTTTAACTTTTAGGGCATAATTATTATAAGAAAATGAATAGTTTCCTTTTTATTTAAATGTTCAAATATTAGGATAATAGAAATTGGCTAAACTTACCATGTATGCAATAAGGTTCAATGGATAAAATATTACATTAACTAATAATTTTGAGATAAACATAGAACCTAACAGATCGCGAGACTTTCTAGGCGTCTCACAGCCCTAGGAAGATCGTCTTTGATATTTTTCTGTTTTTATTGTTTATAGATTTTAGATCATTAGCCTATGACTAAAGCCGCTCTGAAACTGGGCTAGCTTATCTTAGACCTTGATATACCAGAAATCCTGCGCGAAACCAAGGTGGAGGGGAGAGGTATTTCTCCCCCAAAAATGTATACAATATATAACTATAAAGAAGAATTGGAAAAATAAATTGGTAAAAGTTAATAACTTCTTTAAATAATCACTATTATTCAAAATCTTTAGAAAAAAAAGGGTTTTTATAAAAAAATAAGTGAAATCCCAAATTTATTTTTTATAAAGATATAATATAACCAAGGTCAAACAATAAGAAGACCTAATGACTCCAATAAAATATTTACGTTTAATAATGTCCTATCATGGGTATGTCTATGCCCGGAATAGACCTTAGTCGATCCCTACCATTCGTGTAGCCTGTACGTTTGACCAAGAACTTAACTAATTCACATTAAATATTCAAATTAAATATTCAAATTTAAAAAATTATTAATTTTTTATATATTTAATGAATGATACGAGAAACTTTTAAAATGAATAAATATATAAAAAAGCCACGCTGCCAGCATATTAAAAATTGGAGGATAGCCCAGCAACGTGGTTTAATTTTCGACATGGCAAAATACTGGAGATTACGGCGTAAGCTCGTGAAGTGCAGGAATATGTATGAGACAGGTATATTATTTATTTATAATATTGGCATTCACTCTCTTTGACTTCTAGTAACTTTTGTTTTTGAATTAGACACGGAGAATAAAGGAGTAAAGAACAAAAAAAGGCAAAATTTGAAGAAATAAGGAAAACAAATTACCAGATAAAGATTGAATATAAGTCAATATTCACCAGATTTATAATTATTAGGGTATAAACTTTATATAGAGATAAGATAATATGATTATTAATTTCGAAAGTTTTGCGAAAATTGTTTGAACTATCTAATTGAACAAAAACAGAATTTTTCTTTTGTATGAATGAAGACTTGGCTAAGCTAAATTTTTTATTTTGTGAAAAAAATCTTATTTGCAGAGAAGTTTCAATTTTGAACTCATAAAAATACAATTTTTATTAACTTTATAAAAATATTATACTTTAAAGTTAACATTTAGTATACTATCAAACTATGATTAAAATTATAAATGTAATAAAATTAAAAAAGGAAGTGACAGGAAAGTATCTGGTTATAAATTGATTGTAATGATATAAAAGAAAGAGGAGAAAGATTGATGGCTAATACATATCTCTAACAACATGTTCAAGCCGCCCTGATATTTCGAATATGAATAAATTGAAATTTTTCTACGAAACAATTTTAAAAAGAATTTTTCAAAAAAAAAGTTACTTTTAGGGTATAAATAATTAATATATATTTATTTTTATTACATATATGATTTATAAGATTTATTAATATTTTTAAAAATTATATTAAATTATTATATTAAAGAAAGAAACAATTTATAAAATATATAATCATTATAATAATAAGATATTAATACATTATTAGTAAAATAATTTAATAAAATAAAATAACATAGATTAATTTATACATTAATATAAATTTAGCTCTAACGTTATAATAATATGCAACAAAATGGCCAAAGTCTATACTATGCATAGGATGTTCAATTACGGCGTTTCGGATATTGAAAAAATAAAGCTGAGATAAATGTATTTTACTATGTTTATGGCTAATCGTTGGCGTAGGTAGAATCCCTCGTTGGGATCCTCGGTCCTAGCAGAGATCCGTTTTCCTAGCTCTTTAAAGAAGTCTAGGGCAAAGCCGAACGACGTTAAGGTAGTGGCGATTAATGGTAGGAATGTATAATTGGCGGGAAGAGATGGCGAATATTTAGCTAATTTATTCGCCTCGGCATCTAGTATGGCATCTCTATTTACATTGGAAGGGGCAAGAGGATCGATGCATGAGAAATCCCAAGTTAGGAATTCCCCCCTCTTCCAAGGGATCATAGTCTAACCATCGGGCCGCTTACCATCTGAATTGTAAAGGCCAGTAGGTTCGAGGGTTGATGGGATGCCGGCGGATTTTAAGGCCCTGGCAATGGTATCATTGCATTTTGAATGCCTAATGAATCTGCCTTTACAGCGCTTGCAGTGTAGAGAGTGACGGCCTTTGGAGTTGACCGACGTTTGACAGAGGATACAGTTATGAGGTATTACCATATCGCAATTCAGTCTAAGACGGATGGCGTGACGTATCTCATCATTGCTTAGGAGCTGGTCAAGGTTTCGGGATGGGAAGGCTTCAAGAAATTCTTATCCACCACCTTCGGAAATAGAGAAGAGTAGAGAATGATCCTCTGGTTGGCTCCTCGATTTAAGGAATGCAACGGAGTTGCCAACTAGAGGTTTATCCCAATCCTTCTGTAATGCCGGCGATGGAGGATCGACTAATGAGAGGGACTTCCATAGATCAATAGCCTGTTGGAGTAAGGGGTCAGGATGTTTTGTTAGCGTTTGAATGATGGGCTCGCAGGACAAGCGAGAGGATATGAACGCACTAACAGAAAGTAGGGAAGGTGACCTTATACCAATACCGCCGGATTTGGTTGGTAAGGTAGCCTGTAGCCATGATAACTCCCCAAATTTAAGATTGAGTATATCTTCTGTTAGGCGTTTAATCTCCAGTTCATGTGAAGCGAGGTTGACGTCATATTGAAAGATCCGAGACGCTCGAAGTGTTTATAAAATTCTTGGAATTAAAAGGTAGTTCTTTAATAAGAAGAAAGCTTAGTGAGCTGGGAGGCGAGATAGTGTATCTCGCATAAGGGATATCTCTCGTAGGATATCGGCAAAGAACTTGATTAAAAAATTTTTATATAAACTTAAAAATTTTTTTTTTTGCATCATTAAAAATAATGTATTAGGTTTAAAAAATAATAATTTTATTTATTTTTAGGAATAATATATAAAATTCTTACCAATCCTTCCTTTCTTTGCAAAGAATAGAGTGCGGTATCTACTTCCTACCAAACATTCAAAATTAAGGCTCTAGTTGAGGTGGGGTTCAATTGTAAAGATATAATAAAACAAATAAGAAAGGAGAGAAATCTTTGAAATTTATCAATCAGAGGTACTAATGATTTGCGCCATGGTAAAATAAAAGTCCCTAACCATAATTTAGGAAAACGTAAGGCTTTTGTATCTAAATTTGGCTTGAGTCCTCCCTAACCGTGGAGGAGTTTGTTACGCCACTTATTTATATAAAATCAAAAATTCTTAACTAAATCCTAAGATTCTCATTTTATAAACTTCAAAAAGAAACTTAATTAGAATTATTTGCAATATATTTAAATCAAAAATAACTTCAAAAATAGGATAAAAAGAGATATCAAGATATGAGATTAATAAAAAAAAATATTTAGGTAAAATGGTAGCGGAATTAAAAGAAGTGTTAGCTATTAATATTGGTCAGTAATGAATTTATCAAAAAGGTGTTGGCATCACATTTAACTTGTCGCTCTACTAGATAATCGCATCATCAATTACATTCATTTCTTCTATTATTAACGTTTTCACTATCATTTACAGCTCCGTGAAGCTGGCCGAACATTTGGAAGCACTAACGATGAATCATATGTCATTTTTTAGTGCTTCGATAGTGCTTGTTGGTGCTTCAATCCGTATAGTAGCCGAATTTAATGAAAAAATGTTATAGGCAAAAATAAAAATTTATGCCAACTTCACGCTTAAAAGTTGATTGAAAGCACTAACGATGAAACTTATATCATTCTTTAGTGCTTCGTTAGTAGAGGTTAGTGCTTCAATCACTTTTGTAGCCGAATTTAAGAATAAAAAGTTATTGGCCAAAAATAAACAAATATTGGCGACGTGAAAAACTAGAGTAGTATTAAACATCCTGTTTTCGCCATTATTTAGTGCTTAATTAATATATTTAAATTCCGTTATTAATTTGGTTAACCTCCATGTGGAAAAAAAGTTATAAGCTAAATAAAAATTATGACGTCACTATTTAAGCGTGAAGTTGGCCGAACTTTTGGATGAACTAACGATGAAACTTATATCATTCTTTAGTGCTTAGTTAGTAGGGGTTAGTGCTTCCATCACTTTTGTAGCCGAATTAAAGAATAAAAAGTTATTGGCGAAAAAAACAAAAATAAACAAATATTGGCGATGTGCCAAAATAAAAACTAGAGTAGTATTAAACATTCAGTTTTCGCCATTATTTAGTGCTTAATTAATGTATTTAAATTCCGTTATTAATTTGGTTAACCGCCATATGGAAAAAAGTTATAAGCTAAATAAAAATTATGACGTCACGATTTAAGCGTGAAGTTGGCCGAACTTTTGGAAGCACTAACGATGAAACTTATATCATTCTTTAGTGCTTCGTTAGTAGAGGTTAGTGCTTCAATCACTTTTGTAGCCGAATTTAAGAATAAAAATTTATTAACTAAAAAAACAAAAATAAACAAATATTGGCGACGTGCCAAAACAAAAACTAGAGTAGTAATAAACATCCGGTTTTCGCCATTATTTGGTGCTTAACTAATGTATTTAAATTCCGTTATTAATTTGGATAACCGTCGTATGAAATAAGCGTAATACGCTAAAGAAATATTTAGAGGTCAAATTTTGGCCAGAAAATTATGAAAGCACTAACGATGAAATTTATATCCTTCTTTAGGGCTTCCTTAGTAGAGGTTAGTGCTTCAGTTACTTTTGTAGCCGAATTTAAGAATAAAAAGATTTTTGCGAAAAAAACAAAAATAAACAAATAATGGCGACGTGCCAAAACAAAAACTATAGTAATAATAAACATCCAGTTTTTCCATTATTTAGTGCTCGATTAGTAAATTTGAATTCCATAATTAATTTGGTTACCTCTTTATAAAAAATTGTAATACGTTAAAGAAATGTTTATAGTGCGTACAAATTGTGCGTTGCAACGCTGCGTTTCAAAACGCAAGCAATGCATTTTAAATGTATTCGTTCAAATTGAACACATTTCCGTTTTTCATTTAAATTATTTTTTTCAAAACGTAAACCTGCTTGCGTTTTCAAATTTTTTTGAAGTGGAGAAATGAATTCACCAGCAAAAATGTAAGTATAATTATCTTTAAATCATCATATATTAATTATGTTAGATCATGGAATGACCAAATCACAATGAGGTTTGCAGAAATGTTGGAACCAGAAGAGATTATATGGAATCAGGCGCATCCTGATCACAAGAAGACATTCGTTGTGATGGAACATCTTTCCATCATAGGAATTAAGTTAAATAATATATTATATTATTAATAATTTTATTTTTAGATTATCAGAAGAATATCCTGATTATGACTGTAGTGTTAACTACTTAAAAAAGCGTTTAAGAAATTTCAAGTATCAACTGAGCAAAGAAAAATTAGACAGTCTATCCGGATCTAGAGGAGGGGTGCATGAATACAAGTATAAGAAATATATTAATTTCATGCAATCCACTGTTGCTGACAGACTTACTGTCAGTAACTTCCAGGAATCCCCTCCTCCAACAAGGAAACCTGCCAAAAAATGATTTGCAAATTCTGATGAATGTATTGGAAAAAAAGTCATCTAGCATCCAGTAATTCTTATTTTTATCTATAATTTATTTATCTTTTATATAGACTCTTTTTGGATAGCCTAGTTGATACAATGGATGGCTACAATTCCGATGAAGATTTTTTTTTAAAACAGGTTTTAAAACTAATGCAAATAATCAAGATCAATAGAACACAACCAACAGAAACTTTTAATACTATTATATAATTTTTATATTTATATTTGTTATATTGTTAATTTTTGATATATTGTTATTAATAAAATTTTTATATAATTAGTAGTGGATAATTATGTGTTAACTTCTTCCTAAAATGTAATTTAAAAATATAAATAAGATTGCATAAATATATAGCAAAACATGATTAATATTTTTAATTATTTATACTGGCTAAAGTTTTTCACTCTTATGATTGAGGGCAATTTAAAATATTTGCATTGTTAAGTTTAATATATATATATAAATCTAGTCTACAACCTTCATCCCCATTATTAATCCTCAACTTTGGATCCCACTTCATTTAATCTATTACAATTAACACTAAGCTTACAAATATATAACTAAACTTAAAATTATTTCATGATCAATACTTTATTCCATTTTATTTAATATTAATAAATTTATTATAATAGTAATATAAATAAATTTATTATAATAGTAATATAAATAAAATTATTATAATAGTAATATAAATAAATTTATTATAATAGTAATATAAATAAATTTATTATAATAGTAATATAAATAAATTTATTATAATAGTAATATAAATAAATTTATTATAATATAAAAATTTAAGAATTTATAAAATTTTTAAATTTATCCCTAATGATTTTAGATTCCTGTGAGCTTTAGTTGTTTCCCCTGCTTGCCAAAAATGGTCTTGTTGTAAGGTTAGCCAATGTAGGATATGTATTGATGATAATATAATTTTAAAAATATATATAAATATGATATTTATATATTTATTTAAATATTAGTATTACCTATATCATCAATGGAAGCTGATCCTTCTTTGTATGATGTTATGTAGGATGCAAATAGCCTTTATCACTATCTCTATGCTAGGTAGTCCTATTTCTATTGGCTTACTTAGAATGTCAAATTTTTTGACTATTCCACCTGTCCTCGTAAATGAGCTCCAGTATATAAGAAAATGTTGATCTTCTCATTCTTGTATAGTTATAAAATTGCGAATGTGTTAAATCGCCTTTAATATTAATATATTCTGAAAAAAGATTTCTTTTAACAAATATTTTGGATGTCTTGCTCTTCTTCCTTCCTTTATTTCTTTGTAGTAAATACAAAGCAAGTAATTTTTTTTGTTTTAAATTTAAATGTTTCATATTGAAAAAATAAAAGTTAACGCATCAATTTATACATGGCTGCGTTTACGTTTTTTTATATGCGTTTTAAAACGCTGCGTTGCAACGCACAATTTGTACGCACTATTAGAGGTCAAATTTTGGCCAGATAATTATGAAACCATAACAATGAAATTATATAATTCTTTAGAGCTTCCTTAGTAGAGGTTAGTGCTTTAATCAGTTTAATAGCCTAATTTAAAATAAAAAAGTTATTAACAAAATAAACAAAAATCTATCAGCGACAAACATTTTATTTTCACCATTATTTAGTACTTATTTTGTAAAATTTAAACCCTAATTAGTTTGATTAAAAACCCCAAGTAATTAAAAAATGCATATTGTCTTTTTACACTTAACCTATCAATTGTTTCCGTAGATCATCTGCCATATTTGAATAATATAATGTTTCAGAAGCTTATATATATTAAGGTTCCCAAAATACATGAATAGCTAAAACCAAGTCAAAAAATATTATTTCCACTACTGCCTAAATGGGTCCATTGAACCCCATTCTTGTGTAATAATTATATAATTTTTATTATTTTATTGTAACAACTACATTTTTTCTCCAGCATCTATTATTCTGAGGTGTCATTGAATGATATGGTTAAAAACATTCTCAGAAATTTTTTATTCTTAATTCAAATTGTTCTTTTTACATAGTTTTATTTTATTCGAAAAAATTACGCATATATTTATTTCTATCATAAATTTTATATATTAAGATTACAATATTTTAAAGTACCCGTCGAACCGTGCTCAGACCTAATTTTTTTAAAATAAATCGGGTTTGGGCCTAATATTTTTTAAAAAAGGGCCGGGTAGGGTTGGGCCTAGAAATTTTTTTAAATATTTCTAAATTTATCAATTATATATTAAACTTTTATGTAAAATAAAAATATTTGATTTTATTTATAGAAACTAGACAACATATAACATATGTCTTTTATTTTGAGTAATTTTAAAAATTATTTTCTATATTTAAATAAATTCGGGCATGACCGGGCCGGGTCGATAAATTTTTTTAAAAAAATTTCTGATTCGGGCTGGGCCGGCAAAACTTTTTTAAAAAAATTTTGGACCAGGCCGGGCTTGAAAAATTAGGCCAGATGCAGATCACTAATACTTATGCAGGAATTCTGAGTGTTCCTGATTCGATAAATTACTGCCATATTAATCCTTCAAATTTTCTGACACCTTTCTCGACGCCTAAGAAAATTTAAGACCAAATCATTAAAAAATTATATTCGATTCATAAATTTGACGTTCGTCTTTATTAAAGTTTTATTAAAAATTTTTTTTAAAAAATTATATTAAAATCAAAATGTTTTTTACAATAATTATGGAAAGTTATTTAACTATATAAGAATGTTTCACATTATGGAAATGTGTTACATACTATAAAAATTTACAAGTAATCAAAAATTTTTTGAGTAATATAAAAAATTAACCACAGAATTTCCCACATGTGATTAATAAATCAACACAGCTGTAAACCATATAATAAATAGAAGCCTAACAGCTGCACACATTACAAACAATCTTGAACAATCAAATTTATCTCAAGAAGATGGTTTAAGACCTGATGGTATGACAACCATACCCCTCAGCAAATCACGTGTCTCATCATTCCCTTCAAACATAAATTTCAATTTAATAACGCAGGCAGAAATTAAAAAGACAAACAAATATAAAAATTTTAAAAACTTCATATTCACTCCAGTAGTTACTTCTACTAACGGGCATTTTTCGCCTTCAACATTTATGTTTTTAAAAAATCTGCATAATAAAATACGACTTTTCACAAATGAACCCAGAGAATTTCTTTTTATTCGACAAAAAATTCAAATAGAAATTTTTAGACACAATTATGGTACCTTTTTGGGGACTCAATTATAAAATTTTATTTTTAATTATATAATTATAAATTTATAAATTATAATTTTTTAATTAGGTTTTATTACATATTTTATAATTTTATATATTTTCATAATCCTTAGTGTATTACAATTTTTTATAAAGATGGTTAACCAAATTAATTACGGAATTCAAATTTACTAATTGAGCACTAAATAATGGCGAAAACCGGATGTTTGGTATTAATATAGTTTTTGTTTTGGCACGTCGCCATTATTTGTTTTTTTCGCAAATAACTTTTTATTCTTAAATTCGGCTACAAAAATAATTGAACCACTAACCTCTACTAAGGAAGCTATAAAGAAGGATATAAATTTCATCGCTAGTGCTTTCATAATTTTCTGGCCATAATTTGACCTCTAAACATTTCTATAGCGTATTACAATTTTTTATAAAGACGGTTAACCAAATTAATTACGGAATTCATTAGTAATACTCTAGATTTTGTTTTGGAACGTCGCCAATATTTGTTTATTTTTGTTTTTTTCGCCAATAACTTTTTATTCTTAAATTCGGCAACAAATGTGATTGAAGCACTAACCTCTACTAACGAAGCACTAAAGAATGATATAAGTTTCATCGTTAGTGCTTCCAAAAGTTCGGCCAACTTCACGCTTAAATCGTGACGTCATAATTTTTATTTAGCTAATAACTTTTTTTCCATTTGGCGGTTAACTAAATTAATAACGGAATTTAAATACATTAATTAAGCACTAAATAATGGCGAAAACCGGATGTTTAGTACTACTCTAGTTTTTGTTTTGGCACGTCGCCAATATTTTTTTATTTTTGTTTTTTCGCCAATAACTTTTTATTCTTAAATTCGGCAACAAAAGTGATTGAAGCACTAACCTCTACTAATGAAGCACTAAAGGATGATATAAGTTTCATTGTTAGTGCTGTCAAACAACTTTTAAAGAAGTTGGCACAAATATTTATTTTTGCCTCTAACTTTTTTTCCTTAAATTCGGCTGCTATACGGATTGAAGCACTAATAAGCACTAACTAACCACTAAAAAATGACATATGATTCATCGTTATTGCTTCCAAATGTTCGGCCAACTTCACGGAGCTATCATTTATACACAATTTTATTTGGATGAATTAAAAATGAAAATAAAATTCCATAAAAAAGAATTTTTTAAAAAAATAAAAATGGTATGAGTTCTATAAAATATCAAGCAAAATAAAAACAGCGTTGTCTAAGATCAATTTTATTTTTAACGAAAGAAATAGAAAGTATGTGCAAATATTTGTTTTAATAATGATAATTTTTTTATAAAAGTTTTATTTATTAAATTATTTTGAAAAATTAAAAATATCTCAGAAAAAAAAGGTATTGGCTTTGTTTTGCATATATAGGAATTCATAATTATACCCCAGATATAAAAATAACCTAATTTTTCCAAAATTATAAGAAAATAACTCTTGAATGGTGATAAAAGGAATTAATTCCTATTGGTCTAGCTTCATATTAAAATTATTACCTCAGGACTAGTTTAATTTTTTTTAATTTCAAATATATTTGTACACAATTAATTTTATTGTTTCCTAAATAAGATTAATAGGGATTTTTGTAGTTTAAAATGAGAATATATTAAAGTAAAATGACTGCTAGACAATACATAGGCGTCCTATATCAATAAGAAGAACAATAATAGTTAGGAAATTTAAAAAACATGTGATTTTTTTTTGCATAAGAAATGTGGGAGATCGGGGACGATGATTACAGGAAGAGGTCAGTACTCCACTTATAATTTAAGCTAATAATTGATAAGACTGAAAATTTAAGCCTAAAGTCATACATGATTGGCTAAAAAATATTTAGTATTTTAAAATGTGTTCTAACATGCCAAAAGTAACAAAGAATAGTTTCAAACTTTATATTTAAGATTTATAAATAAAACTTT